CCCCTAACAAATGCTGTTTACCGATGGGGGAAACCTAACTATCATGCGGCCGCTTCTGGGAATAAGAATTTTGGCGCGAGCTCATATGCATACTTGTTGGTGTTGTATTCAGACTCTGATTCGTTTCTCAATTATTTGCATTGGCATCTTCGATGTCCGGACGACTAGTGTTGAGGAGAGGCCTGTCGATCCAAGCTAGGAACCTCTCCGGACTTCGAAATACTAGGAAACATGGTTCAAACTACTATAGTATATTGGGGTTATATTGGGATAATGGATAAGAAAATGGAAGCTAAAGGATTATAGGGATTATATACAAGCCTTACTTTAGGAGCATGTGTTTTCATAGGTCCGTGCGCAGTCTTGCTTGCATAGAGCAGGGCGATGTACAGGGCCGGCCACGGATTGCACGACACATTCACGTACGTAAAACTCAAGTAAGGCCTAGACCCTAAACCTTACACGCAAAACCCTATACCCTAAAAAGGCACATCTTTGGCGGCATGGAGAGGGGCGTGGCGGCGTTGCAGTTCCTGCAAAGAGCAAGCAACATCGGGAAAGTGGTCATAAGCTCATCCAGCCGCCACTTGTCTCTGCTCAGGAACTGCTAGCGAAAGACCTGTAGCAAAAGCAGTAGCAGCATTTCCAGTAAGAAGCAATGCAATCTGCTATGCATCATGATGCCACCTCTTCAACCACTTGTTTTGCATGAACCTCAGGCTTGCTTTGCAGCCCAGACCAGATGCCTCTCCTTTCTGGCGGCCTTGGTGCTCTGGGAGTGGTAACAGCGCAGTTCCTGGTTGAGGAAGGGGCCAAAGCTCTCTGCCTGCTCTCGCGCAATGGCCAGCCGGCCAAGGCCCTTTTCTAGCCTTGTGAGTTGTGGTGACATCAAGACAGAGCAGTATGCGTGTGACCTGCCTGAGGATGTGGGACCCCAGTGGTCTTGGCTACAGAAGTGTGCTGTGGAGCTCCGGATTGAGAAATGCGATGTCGGCAGCTTTGATGCAAGTGCGGCAGTACTTCAGTGCATGTTAATCTTGCCGCTGTGCCGCCTGCTATGCTCGTGGAAGCCTCGTGCAGCCCCCCGAAGGACGAAAAGACTCTGTCCTTGCCTTGCGAGATGCGCTGGCAGGAGACTTGCTGCAATCAGCGCGTTTTTCCCACGTGGGTTGCGAGTGTAGCGACAGCAACTCATAGTGATTGGCCGAGTAATTGAAGAGTCCGGCCTACATCCACTGGCAGGAACCAAACTTGGAGGTTTGATGCACCTCGCTGGGGTTCTGGCGGATGGTGTTCTTCCCAGCCTGACCCGCGAGAGCTTGGACAGGTCCTACGGGCCGAAGGCCAGGCAAAACCTTAGGGTTTCCGAACGTCAAGGGTTCCTTTCTCAAATCTCAATGGTAGAGCTTGTTTCGCGCGGCGGTGATGAGGTGCTAGTGTTTTTTTAAGTCCACAAGTGAGCTGAATTGGCTGATCTCGAGGTGCATGGTCTCTTCAACCTTTGCCGTATCCTGGACTTTCACAAAGCCGCTCCTCACCTCCTTTTCTCCTCGACGTCTGCGCTGTTTGGATCGCCAGGCCTCCAGCCCTCGTGGCCTACCATCCTTGTGCTAATAAGATCATAAACAGGTTTAGATTTACAAGCCTAAGCCTGACTACCTGTCAACTTGTCACTGACCCCTTTCTATCTGGAGGCCAGGCAAACTATTCAGCTTCAAATTCTGTGCTGGACTCCTTGGCACCGTTCTGGAGTGCCCAGGACTGCTTGCCGGGAGCCTGTTACACACCAATTCGCTCCTGACATTGTCAGTATGAGCATTGCGTACTTGCCTCAAAACATTGGGGGGGTTAGGATCTGGGTACGGTTGACAGGGATTTTGCCCAAGAGCAGTTGGAAGTCTTCTCCGTTCCTCTCCTTGCCAGGATCCAGAAGGAGGGGGCGTTTTCTGGAGGAATGCCCGGTCTGTGCAATGGGGACCTTGGGCCGAGGTGGGCATGGCTGTGCAGGCAAACACTCTTGGCCGCGCCAAGTCCATGGGCAGCTCTGCTGCAGAAGAGGGTTGTGGTAAATTCGTAGCACTATTAGCGCTATCACTACTACTATTTTGATCGCTATTGTTACTATTACTACCATTATTGCTGTTACTGCTAGTATGACTATTTTCTATTGTCTGTAACGAAGTTGGGCCGGAGTTTGAGTCTACTTCAGCAAAGCCATGTGAAGCTTGGGTGTGGATCGTCTTCAGGTGAGTAGTTTTTTATTTGGGGATACTATGGTACCCAATATAGAGTAAGATTATATCTTCCTTCTGGGGTATAGCACTTTATATAAGGAACATTATCTTAATGGGTTCAACCACCAAAACAACACTACTCAGGTGTGGGTGCGCTGACCAATGCACAGGGCCTTGCCATCATGAGCAGCGCCGTGCTCAGCAAGTCTGACACAATGTAGACATGGTAGTTTCCCTACGTCCCTCCATAGGGGGATCCCAATACAGACCCCAAGATACTTATTATGGGGACCCCCAAAATGGTACCCCCAATTTGAGGAACCCCCCAAATCTCTGGAGACACTAGTTAGAAAGTGTCAGCCGATGCTTCCATCCCTACTCCCTGAACCTTAAACACTAAACCCTAAACCCTAAACTCTAAACCTTAAACACTCAACCTTAAACCCTAAACCGCTGGACTTCAAGGCATCTTGAGTAGCGCCAACCTGCTAGTGGGTGCGGTGCCGGTGCGCTGGGGCAAATACCTGAAGACGCTTATCCTGCAGATCGAGGTTATATGAGCCATAGTCTGAACTCCTTAACGGGGGTCATATAGGGTTAAGGGTTTCGGGTCTAAATTCCTTCAATGGGTCATATAGGGTTAGGGTCTAAACTCCTTGAAGGGGGTTTAAAAGGGGATTATAGGGAAGTACTATAGGGCTTATTAAGGTTTAGACTATAGCTCATGTAGGGGTAATATAGGGTTATATAGGGTTTAGGGTTTCGCAGAATTATGGGTATCTGTGTGGTCTCGCACCATGCGACGCGCTTCGGCACATTGTTGATTGCTCAGATCTATCTGAGCCGTAGCCTAAACTTCTAGTATCCCCTTGATAACTCCTATTAGTACTCCCCTTGTATATAATCCCCTAAATAGCCCCCTCTAAGAAGTTGAAATCCTAAACCTTTATACTGCCCTCTATAGCCACCTTTAAGGAGTTTACACCTAAACCCTAAACCTTACCTAGTCCCCTACTTATCCCCCTTTAAGGAGTGTAGAGTATAGCTTATCTGCTTTCTCCGAGGAGCGCCTACCCGCAAGTGCCCAGCTTCCTAAAGGACTTCGAAGCAGAAGCCAAAAAGGAGGCAAAATGGGCATTGGGCTTTAGGGGTTTAAGGGGTTTATTTGGGCTTTAGGGGTTCAGGAGTTTTGGGGTTTAGGCTTTAGGATGAAAGGGTGAAGGGTTAAGGGTTTAGGGCTTAGGGCTGTTGATTCTGACATGAACTATAGTCTAAACTCCTTAAAGGGAGTTGAATAAGGGATTATATAGGGGAGTACTAAAGGGGTTATAAAGGGGGATGCTGGGAGTTTAGACTATGGCTCACATGTAGGACCTGTAGGATAATCTTCCCAGGTACTATCAATATTTTGCAGCAGCACTTCCTTTTGTTCTTGTTATTGTCCATGTGGCAAGAGGCCTGCACGTTGGCTTTGAAAACCCACGGGACTTGTTGGGCCAAGCCTGGGAAAATGACCGAATTTATCACGGCAGTCAATATTCTGGTCTTAGTTGGTCTCGTTGCTTTCTTCACAGGATCCCTGAACCGAAAGAAACCCATTATAGTAGTTTCCATTTTCGTTTCCATTATTCCTATACAACCCCTACATTACCCTACAGATATGGTAGCAGTTTCCATGTTCTTTGCCCACTATCCCTATACAGCCGCTATGTTACGCTATATATTATGGTAGTTTCCATTTTCTTGTTCATTATCCCTATACAACCCCTATAGTACCCTACATATTTAAGTAGTTTCCATTTCTTTTCTACTATCCAACCCTAAACCCTAAACCCTAAACCCTAAAGAACTCCTAAACCACCCAAACCCCAGTTCTGTCAGGCGGCTGAGGCGCGGGCTGCACGGGGGGCACCCGGCGAGTCCGCCGTGCTGGGCGCGCTGAGCGGGCTCACGGGCGAGGAGCGCTTGGTGGCCACTGGGCTCAAAAGAAAGTTAGGCTTCGCCTTATCCTGTATAAAAACCCAATATACCATATAGCAATATACTATATATTATGATAGTTACAACTCCTAAACCACCCAAACCCCAGTTCGGGTCTTCAGGAAAGGGGTCTTCGAAGCTGCCCCAATCAGGTGGCAGTGACCAGGACTTTGTGGTTTGTCAGTGCTGTGTTTGGTGCATCCTTGGGCTTTTCCATAGCTGCATATAGCTGCCAGTGGTTGCATACTCCGGTTCGTTGCCAAGATGATGCACCCCGGCTTCCTGAGGCTGTTCGCAGCAGCCTGCGAGATCTTGCCAGGGAGGCTGGACGTGCGCGTTGTGCGGGATCATGGAGCCCTTCCTTCGTTGTCTGCTTGGGGTGCGGCAAGGGGAGTCCTTTGCACCCTCCGAGGTGATCGATTCTGCCGAGCTGGAAGCGGACAGTCCGCTGATGGATTCCGGCATGGACTCCTTGTCAGGCTGTTGGCTTAGGACAGAACGATCATGTCATGGTCTAGCTTTGTCATCGTCTTCACAAACGTGCTGACTTGCGGTTACTCGTAGCCTGACTGCAGGCGTGGAATTCAGGAATCGATTGCAAACAGAGTTCGACGGCGTCAATCTCCCGAACTCCATGGTTTTCGACTATCCCACCATTACAGACCCTTGGCATGCCCTTCAGTCATGCAGAGGTGTCAAGACTTCTATGAAGTTTGCAAACAACCAGCAGTAATGTGTCCCCAAGTATAAGTCTGCCATGTCATGGCTGGGGAACAGTTCTAGTGTCTAAGTAGGAGGTCTGCGCAAGAACCACTGGATCGGGCACACTTTCTAAACCTCAAGCGATCTCAAGCGATTCTTCCCAAAGCACTTGACCTGCTTGGGTTTGGGCCATGGATCCTCGGGTGGCGATGGTGACTGCCTGCGTGACTGCTGGTTGCCTCATTTGGCAGAAGACCAAGCAAGCAAACAAGGCCAAGAGCTCCATAAAGGGGTATATTGGGGTTATATTGGGACACTACTATATATATATATTTCTTGCTTCAACCCTATTATTTACTGTATATTCCCCCTATAATGGAGAATCAAATGGAAAAGAACATGGAACATGAAATGGAAACGAGGCGAAGAGCACCAACGACACCAAGAGCACCAACGAGGCCAAGAGCACCATCGATGTTGCAACCTGGCGACAGATCTGGTGGGAGAGGCCCACTGGCACAAAGCTCTGTGTAGGAGTCTTCATGGAGGGGTTGCCTGACGTCGGCAGAATCCGTCCGAGTAGCCACCAACGTTGGGACAAAGGCGACTTGCCCATCTGCCGCACAGGTTTGCGGACCAGTGCGGAGGCCTGGGCTTCAGAACTATACCTTTACGACGGCAACCTTTCAATGCTTGGAGCTTCGGCGCCCAGCAGCTTCCAGGAGCTTGGCATTCTTTTGCGCGGAAAGCAGCCCTTGCTATTTGTGGACCGTGAACAGTGGTCACCGCTGCGAAAAGCATTTCCCAAGTGTGACTTCAGGCTGGTTCCGAGGCAGGAACTCATCCGTGAACTAGACAGAAATAAAGACTACGTGCGGATGGGGGTGCCCCATCGCGCTATCATTGATGCGAGGAAGGTTTCCTTTGAGAGCGGTTTCGCTGGCAAGAGGTTGGATTTGTCTGTGTCCGTCCACGTGCACGTGGCAGAGCTTGGCCAGGAACCGGAGGTGCTGCAAGCTGTAGCCGAAGGTGCTGAACGCGTGGTCTTCGCAGGGCCGGAGGCACACACTTTGATGATAGCCTACCAAGAAACCCTCAACACATCTGAGCATCCAGCCATCCCAGAGGCACGCCCCGACAATGGAAACAGATGCCCTCCAACTTTCCATGGAGACTCTTGCAGAGGCCGTCCCTCAGGCCTTCGTGGAGCGAGTGCCGGCACTTACAGCGTTGCAGTGGGTGGCAGAGGATCCGCGGCGTAACGTACTTGTCTGTGCCACAGACTACTCTCTCCTTCACAAAGCTGCTCTGTACATCAGCAAGCCGGACCTGGATTGTCACGAGGATATCTTCTACAGTCTCTTGAAGGATAGGGGTGCAGAGCGCGTTCTCTTCCATTGTGACCACAGCAACAGCCGGGGCCCCGCCACAGCGGCCGCCTTCCTGCGCACCTTACAGAGAAAGAAAGACGACACAATGCGGTTGTATGTGATCGACCATGGCAACAGAGCTTGGGAAGCTAATGAACTTCAACTCGTCAGGGAGCAGGCCAACAAGGCTGCCCATGCAGCAGGGCTGAGGAGAGTGAACGTGGTGCCTCAGGACCGGCTGGATCGCGCACCTCACACAGAAAGAACGACGGCACAATGCGGTTGTATGTGATCGACCATTGCGACACTGTTTGGCAAGTTAATGAACTTTCATTCGTCAGGGAGCAGGCCAACAAGGCAGCGCATGCAGCAGGACTGAGGTCAGTGAAAGTGGCGCCTCAGGAGCGAAAAAGGCTGGATTTGCTGAAGCCCGACGCAAGCTTGATCAGATGTGCAGTTGTCTACTTCGTGTATCTTTGCGCTTAACCTTGAACAGGCAAGTGCGCATTTGATGTCCAGCAATGTTTAACAAGCACCTCCTGCATCAGTTTGCATCTTAGAACTTCTGAACCCATCTGAACCCAAACCCCAGCCCTACACCCTGAACCTCTAACGCTAAGCATGCTGGCAGATAGGTTTGCGAGTTGTGGCTCGTGAAAGAGGTTTTGCAGGAAGCCCATCGAGAACATGTGCATGTCAAAGCCAACTCTGTCAGCATGCCCTGTTCTCGCAGCGTGGCTGGTGATTCGCTAGTTTCCACTTTCTGTTCCATTACCATATATAACCCATATTCCCCGTGTATACTACTGGTTTCCATTTTTTCCATTATCCATATGTAATCCAAATTACCCCTATATAGTAGTAATGTCCATTTTTCTCCACTATCCATATATAACCCGTTATTACATGCTGATAGCTTTGCTGCCCAGGAACTTGCAGGTTTCATCAATGGACAGCCGGGCTCTTATTCTCGTGACTGAAATTGGGGTTTCCCGAAATAAGGAGTACCTTTTCGGGGTTCACCGTAATCAGGATTATCATATATTAGAGTCTATACTGGTGTCCCCCTATTCAGGGAAACAACCAAATCAAAGCAGGCTTTCGCAAGGATTTTGGGGTGATCTGCCACTTGCAGGGTCGCCGGCCATAAAGCATTAAAGGTTTTTTTGCACCTGTACCTTATACTTGTACCATGCAGTTCCGGTCACAGCACGCTCCCCCAAAAATGGAACCTCCCCCCCAAAATGAGCCCAGTATTATATTGGGAAAACTAAAGAATTACTATGGGTTCCATTTTTTGGCCCCTAAACCCTGAATCCTCAACCCTTTGTCTCAGATCGGCCGAGGCTTGGTGACACGCCAGAGCCCCTTCCAGCCGCGGCCTCCGCGGTGGCTTCGCCGCAAGCGGAAGGCTTCCTGGAGCCCCTGAACGCCCTGTGCGCAGGCGCCCACTCCTTTCTGTGGGTATACAGAGAAATTATGTGGGGGTTGTATAGGGATATATTGGGATATGTTGAAAAATATAGGGATTTATAAAGGTTGTATAGGGATATCGTGAAAGAAGATGGAAACTACTATAGTGTAGTAGGGCATAAATGGTAGCTTCCCCAAAAAGGGGAACCCAATATGGATCCCAATATACTATAATCCTTATCATGGGCCCCCCCAAAAAAGTACCCCTCATTTTGGGAAATCCCCACATGGGGTTGATGAGAAAAAGCAAGAAGCGACAGGAGTTGTTCGAGTGTGTCCAGAGAGCAGGGTGAGAACATACCGTACTGGCAAAGCCCTAAACCCTAAACCCTAAACCCTAAACCCTATGGTGTAGTGGCTGATGGCGCTCGCTTACTTCCTGTCAGGCTCTGAGACTGCGGCCACCACGCCGTTGTTCCTGGTGCCTGGGGCAGGCGCAGTGTGCCACAGGTTTACACTGCAGTGCCTTTGTTTGCTGGATTGCTGCTAAGGAACTTAAGTTAAGTTACCATAATAGGGATATATAGTAGATAATGGGGTTTCCTTACTATAGTAACTTAGTTTAAGTTCCTTAACAGCAACCCAGTTTAGCGTGTAGGGGGCCGGCCCAGCTTGAACGTCACGATGCTGCCACACCCTGGAATCAGGCATGCAGGCCGGCAGCTTCAGAACGCTGGCAGCTCGGCTAGCCCTGGCCAGCTATGGTCTGAGCTGGCCCAAGAGCATTCCGCGTGACCAGTGGCCAAGCAGCCTCAAGGACCTTTGGGGTTGAAATTTATGTAGGTAAGCGAGGTTTAGGGTTTAGGGTTTAAGGTTTTTGGGTTTAGGGCTTTGGGTTTAAGGTTTAGGGTTTTGGGTTTAAGGTTTAGGGTTTCGGGTTTAGGGTTTAAGGTGTAGGGTTCGGGTAACTTATATAGGGGTCATATAGGGTTATACATGGATAATGGAAAAAATGGGGATTATAGAGGGTTCTATAGGGGATATATCGGGATGATATTGGGATAATGGACAAGAAAATGGAAGCTATTCTTATATAGGGGTAATATGAGTTTAGGGTTTTAAGTTATTCCATCTGCTGCGGGGGTACCTGCCCCGAAGTATGTACTCAGTTTCTCAGATGTCATGAACCTTCATGGGGATTTAGAGTTTAGGGTTTAGGTTTTGGGAGCTTCACCGCCATCATGTTCCTTCTTATCCCAAAAGCACTCCATTTCTGGGGAACCTCATTTTTGTTTTGAGCGGCTGCGGAATTTTCTTACGAGGGACTTTCCTAAAATTAGTGGTACCATGGTGGGGGTCCCTTTAATATGGCTTATAATATTTTGGATGTCTTTATTCGGGTCCCCCTTTTTGGTACCCTAAACCCTAAACCCCTGGCAGGATCTTGCGAAGCTCTTCTTTGCAGAGATCCAGAAGGTCCAGTCCGAGGGCCCCTACTTGCTAGCTGGCCACTCCTTTGGCGCCTGGATGAGCAAATGCCATATGGGTTCGGGGTTTAGGGTTTAGGGTTAGGGTTCAGGGTTTGGGGTTTAGGGTTCAGGTTTAGGGTTTAGGTTTAAGGGTGCGGGTTTTGATAAAAGGTCCTTGTGAAGAAGGGACCATTGGGAACACACTTCCTTAAAGGGGGATCCTAACTAAACAGGGAACCTACATTATGGCCACTTTAGGGACAGGTATTTTGGACAACTACCATATGAGCTGTAGTCGAAACTCCTTAAGAGGAGTTACAGGCTTTAGGATTTGGGGTCTAAACTCCTTAAGTGGGGTTATATAGGGGATTATATAGGGTTTAGATATTGGGTTTAAACTCCTTAAAGGGGGCTATATGGGGATTATATGAAGGAGAATTATAGGGGTCATTAAGGAGGATACTAGGAGTTTAGACTGGCTCATATCCTGCTTGGAGCCTTCTTTAATCTAGTGGTACAAGGCGGTTCAATGAAGAAATTTGGATGGGATTCTACCGCGATTCTGGGGAGAAGTGCGCATTGCTGGATGTTGGCTCATACAACCCTAAACCCTTAACCCTTATTTGGGTCCCTACATTGCTTGTTCCCTTATGTGGGGACTGTAGCTTGAGGAAATGCTTGCGCGTTCTGCATAGTAGTTTCCATTTTCTTTTCCATTACCCCAATATAACCCGAATATAATCCCTATATAAACCCTATAATCCCTATAGTTTCCATTTTCTTTTTCATTTAGTCACTGTGAACATGGGGATGTGCACGGGGTCCTTCAAAGACCCTAGAGGAGTCCTCATGGTTTTGTTAGGGGGAGTTGCTGGGGGGCAAAGACTGACCTACGGGGTTTAGGGTTTAGGAGGGTTAGATTCAGCCCTAACCACAGACCCAGCTGCTTGTGGTCTGACTTGTACTGCTAGTCTTGTCAAGCAACGTGTGGGAAATGAGGTGCCAACGTTTGCCTGGAGATTGCTGCGGTAGCGGCAGCCAAGGGCCAACAGGTACGGGATGTGCGCTAAGACCACGGCGCAAGTTGATGTCAATTTGCTGGGTTGCTGTTAAGGAACTTGAATTAAGTTACCAGAATGGGTTTGTATAGTAGTTGATGGGTTCCTCCAATATAGTAACTTAGATTAAGTTCCTTAGATCCATATCTTACCCCAGTTCCCATTTCATTTCCATTTTATCTTCCATTTGATTCTCCATTATAGGGGGATATTTATAGCCCTCAACCTCAAACTCGAATTCCTTAAGCAACCCAGTTTGGCATGTGGAGGTGTCCATGGTGATTCTGCTGGATCCGCGCAGCTTGCTGCCGTTGCAAGTGGATGTGCAAGCAGCATTTGCAAAGTCAGGCCCTCCCTATATGAGGGTACCTGTAAAGGGATATAGGGGTTATATGGGGTTACTTAGGGGTTATATATAGGGTTATATAGAGTCTAGGGGTTTCCCAAAGTTAGGGGTATATCCCCAAGAATGGAGAATCAAATGGAAAAGAACATGGAAAATCAAATGGACACTGCGGTTAGGTAGGGTTTATGGGGTTCAGGGTTTTCCAAAATTACGGGTGCCTTTTTTTTGTGGGGGGGTCCCTATAACAAGGCTCGTATTTTGGGGTCTATATTGGGGTCACCTTATTTTGGGAAACACCCTAAACCCTAAACCCTAGGTGTCTGAACAAGGAATTTGTAATATGGTCTGGGCTCCACGCAATTGTTCAGCATCCAATGAGCTGGTAGTTTGGTTGACACTTGAACTTGTAGGATTTAGGGTTTAGGGTTTTGTTTGTTGTGCAAATTCTTGCCAGCCGAACCTCGTCTCCGGCAAATGCTCGAGACACACATTGTATATGTAAGCTGCGCATGCTACCTACCTACCTACCTACCTACTTACCTACCTATCTAGGGATATATTGGAGATAATGCGGGGATTGCGTTGCATTCCCATACGGGGTATTTTAGAAGATGCTCGCTAAACCCTAAACCCTCAGGTGGATGTGATTTGATTACATGTGGTGCATGCAGGTCTTGCAGAAAGCTTGGCGCTGCTCGCTCAGACTCTACCGGGCGCGGAAGGACGTGCTGCTGGTGAGTAGTGCCTGTATGTGCTTGTAGGAACGGATTTCCTGTACTCTCGCCATACTCCATATCTTTCCTGCGAACCACCGGTGCAAGGAGCGAGATACGCTGAGTTGTTGGATGCTCATGAGGGCAGTGGGGACGAGGTGGGGAGTTCAGGGGAGCTCGTGTTTTAGGTGGGCTATCCTGGGGCCTAAGCCCTAACCCCTAGGCCTCCGATGTTCCTTGCAGGACCCCATGAAGCCCACACGGGAACTTGTTGAAATCAGGGCCTACCCATACCTCTAGATTCTGCGGTGCTTTTTATGGACTCCTGCTAGAAGGGGACCTGGAAATCTGAGAATTGAAAGGGTGGGCGCTGAGCGTTGACGGTTGGGTATAATTATGCCTGCGAGGGGACACAGGCACCAGTGATGGTACGTACTCCTGACAAGTTATGGTGGTGCTGCCACTACTTAGCAGATATGAAGATGTACTGAACTTAGTCACCCATCGCCACCACCACTGCGGCAACCAGCAGCAGTGCAGCCGCTGCTTGAACCTGTCCGCTGACGCAGGCCATCAGGAAGGCTTTGAGTCCAGGTGCGCTGTCCTCACTAGAGCATGTGCATGATCCTCGTCTTTGATTTCTGGCATGCTTTGCTTTCAATGTTGAAGCTTACAAAGGGAAGCTAGGATTCCCTGTGATCTATGTGAAGCAGCCCTCTCCCATCAGTCATTTCTGCACTCAGCCGTGAGTTCTCGCTGGTACATGCCTGGATGAGGGGCATCCCCAAAAATGGGATTGCGTTTTGATTGTCCTTACATGTTGGAGAACCCGCATCTTTTCCGTACCCCGCCTCTCTGTGAGAAGTTGTGGGATACAGGAGATATCAAGCCTGTAATTAGGATCCTTAATCCGGACCCCAAGAACCTTTTTGTTATCCCCATAAATCCCCAGATTCCCTACCTACTTCGAGAAACCCTAATGTGCTAAGGAAACCACGCAGTGGTATAGCGCTCTGCTGCAGCAGGGCGAGGCACCCGCAGCACTACCTGGCACGCGCACCTGGGCTACTGTAAAGTAGGGGCTTGAATGATCAGAATACGGGTTTCGGGGGGAATTGTATGAACTACTGCAACAGCGAAATTCAACAGGGCTTGGTGGTTCAGGGTTCAGATTGCGGGATTCAGGGTTCAGAGTTTAGATTCGGGTTTAGATTTTAACAGAAACGACTGAAGGGTCCTAGATCTTGTAGCTTCCGGATCATTTCATCGACGCCCAGGCATCGCCGTGCTGAGAGCGACAATGGCCACGCACTGAGAAGATGTCTCAAGGTATTTAACACATTCCTGGCTAGTAGGGAGTGAAGACAACGGACAAGAAAAGCAAACTAGTGTAGTATTTGAATATGGTACAGGGGCTGCTATATGGATTATCAGGCACTTTTCTTACTGCTGTTTCTCAAAGTTTCCCTCACAGAATGCCAACATTGAACCGGGACCCCTGTAGCGCGCTTCGTATTCCCCGCAGATCCCTAAGATCTCAAGCACATAAGAATGAGGCAATCACAGGCATATTCTCTAAGGTTTTTAAATCGGAGCCACTGATGGGATCCATTCCCTTATAAAACCCCTAAACCCTACAAGCACCAGGGCATGCATGGCATGCGGTTCGGTGACCAAAGGCCTGGAAGGCAGCCAAAGCTGATGAAACTACCGCCGAGAAAATTGTACGTCGCCTTGCAGCATTGGAATAGGAACGCTGTAACTTCTGCTTCTCATCTTATTGCTGCCCTCATGCAGCTCGACCCAATTACAAGCTACAATGAGTAATTGGATTTTCCCTCCCAGTGAATCCTTTCGACTGGCGCCTGGTTTTGCCGAACCCGGCTAGGTGAGTTCCAATCCGTCACTTTCCAAGAGGATGAGGAGGTTTCAAGCCAGCTTGCTTCATGTGCGGAGAGTCCGGCCGTGATGAAGGCCAGAGAGCGGGCAACAACTCCATCCGCTAAAGTTCCTCAACTGACATATTTGACATGAAAAGACATGGTGGATGCAGCCCTGCAGGTGCCCGGCACGCACTTCAGCTCCTTGTCTCAAATTGTGTTCTACTGACCAGGGCACTAGAATCACAACTATCCATAAAGCGATTACAGCCGTCGCATCATGGCCCCTTGTTCGCTGAGGCATGCTTCACGAGCCAAATGCCACAACCTAAGTCGTTTTGGCCTATTCTCTGGGCACCTTGAGGGGCAGGAGCCTTGTGGTGCGCCTTTCTTGCGAGGTGGTCAAGGTGGCTTTGAGAATATGCTCAGCAGTGAGCAGCCTGGAGGAAGACGAGTAGGCCACTTGGCCATGTTGTAAGTAGGAAATGATGGTTTAGGGTTTAGGGTTTAGGGTTTAGGGGAATGGGAAAGAACACGGAAACTATTGTAATTATTGGCTGCATTCCTCCGTTCCCTACTTAGAAATAAAGTTTACGCTCCGCTGCAATTGAGAGGAGGAGACCTTACTCCGCCTAAGAGAGCGCCCAGCCCGCCGAAATGTTGCGGTTGCCAAAAATCACCTTCAGTCCTTCAACCGGATCTGAATACTCCTTATCCTGTACTGTCCTTAGGAATTATTTTCAATTTTGTTACAGTATAACCCAAAGGAAATATCAAAGATATAATTCCTATTGTAGGTCGAAGGAGACTACAGTATCCCCTCTGTATATCTCTCGGGGTTCCTAAAGGGTTCCCCTATTTTGGAGGTTTCCCAAAATTAGGGGTATCTTTTTGGGGTCCCCATACTAAGGGTCCTCCTGTTTAGGGAAAGTACCATTTCAGGAAACCCCGTTCTAGTGTTGGAGGCATCCGACAGTGCCGCAGCGCTGTTCGACGCAGAGAAGTGAAGAAGTAGATAGCGAGAGAGCTCAAATGAGCTATAGTGTAAACTCGTATTACAGGGCTTATTAAGGGGATACTAGGAGTTTAGACTGTAGTACAAATGTCAACCTGCTTACAGTAGTGTCGCAGCTCGGAGGCATAGACCCCAAAAAGCCAGTTGGTACTTTCCCAAAATAGGGGAACCCCAATATAGACCCCCCCAAATACTATAGTCCTTATTATGGGGACCCCCAAAAAGGTACCCCTAATTTAGGGAAACCCCCATATAATATATGACAATGGCAGGTTGACAACGGCAGCTTTCTCACTGTCGGGACCTCGAGCCCCAGCCATCAATACAAAACAAAGAACTGCGAAAGCAAAAGGCCCCTACCCAGACCCCCTAAAGGATCCAAAAAATGGAACCTCCCAACAATGCCCTGGTTTACAGGATGTAGTAATGGGTTCATATTTGAGGGGTTCCATTTTTGGATCCTTTAGGGGGTCTGGGTAAGCCGTTTAAAGGCGAGCTGAGAGGGCCTCAGGCATTAATTAGCCCGCGGTCTCGAAGAAATCCGCGTGTCCCCAAAGATGGAGGCACCCGCCAAAGACAGAACCGAGAGCTTGAGTCTCAGGATGTAAGCTCTATCCAAAGACAGATCACAATATATGAGCTGGGTTTAGGGTTTAGGGGTATATTGGGGATAATGGAAAATAAGATGGAAACTACTATAGTATAATAGGGTATATACTGGGGTTATATTGGGGGTCCCTATTATAATAAGGCACCTAATATTTGGGGTACCCAAAAAGGGACCATAATTTTGACAACCACCCATATGAACTGTAGTCTAAACTCCGCAAAGGAGTTACATAGGGGAGTATTATCGGGGTTTCTGAGAGGGATACTAGGAGTTTAGACTATGGCTCATACCACGCAGCTCTAAAGATTGTCTTGCGAAGAGACTCAAGACCTCAAAGGGGAAGTCCTGCGCGCGCATTAGACTTTCAAGCCGCGCCGATTTTCGCTTAGCTACCGTATCAGCTCGAAGATCCTAACTGATCTTGGAGTGACTTTAAATTATCTCATCGCCAAAATGGTCAGCATCAACCCCGAACTACTTACTGGTGATTAGCAGGGAATAAGGGAATATAATCCCGGTGTACTAGATATTCCCTTATTCACTACTAAACCCCAGTAAGACGAGGCTCATGAGGATGTCTTTGCAAGGACCTTTGCTCGAAACGTATGGCGCTCATCTGTTGATTTGCAGCTTCTGGGCCCAAGCCCGCAGCATGTGCTCACATGTTGTTCACATGATGCTTTAGTCTAGGATGAGAGCACAAGTCCACATCGTGCACAGCACACTCCCACTTCCTGTTACGCAGCACGCGCGAACTGAAGTTCTTGGGGCTGCAGCATTAGGTGCACGCCGGTGAGGCGTGAACGCGTCTAGAGTCGAGTCCATTTTCCTGCTTCACTGCAGAAACTGCAGAGCGAAGCATTGTTTCACAACCTGCAGCAAAGATTGCGCGGGTGTGACTGTAGAAGGTAGTTCCGCTTGCTGAGTCGTAGCACCAAGCGACTTTCATCCCAAGAGCGACCTGGTAGAGAAGAACCTAAGTTACCCGACGTAGAACCCGCTTTGGTCCTATAGCCCCTTAGAATCAGCATCATGATATACGGCAGTCCTTTATGGTTAGTACTATAGGAAAAGTATATCCCCATCATCCTAAACGCCCATTCAGAGAAAACCTCACCCTACTAGAGTTACTGCCGCCATGCCGCGAGATGTGAGGGCCTCCGCTAAGGCAAAATTGCCCAAGCTGCGCCCAAACGTCAACAGGCTTCCTGCTTGTTCTGATAGGGAGCAGAAGAGAAGATCAAAGCAATCACCTTATTTGGGCTTCTTACCCTAAACCCTACAACTCAAACCCTAAACCCCAAATAGCAGTTTCCATTTTCCTTTCCATTATTCCAATATGACCCCGATGTACTATTATAGTAGTTTCCATTTTATTTTCCATTATCCCAAAGTAAAATTATGGTTTAAGGCCCCGGGCTTGCCGGGGCTTGAGGGAACCTAGGGGAGAGACCAGACGTGTTGTTTTAGGGGTTTCTGCTGGATTTTGAAGGGGTGTTAAGGGTTCAGGATTTGGGATACCCTCTCCACATCACTTTTAAGCACCAGTGAGTTTCGTACAATCGCCCTACTGATCTCTCACTAGCCCATAACCACTCACCTATAGCCTGGGAACTACAGTAGTACGCGGGCTCCTAGGTCTTAAGTGTTGCAAGCTTTCCTCCATTGGTCCATCCACTGCATGTCTCGGTCTCGCGTGAGTTATGCGGCGACTGACTGGGTTGCTGTTAAGGGACTTAATCTAAGTTACTATTAATCGGGGGCACCGTACTAGTTACTATATATACCCATCATGGTAATTCAAGTTCCTTGACCGCCACCCATCTGAGGAAGGAGTCTGGGATGGTCTGAGGTTCGTGTGTTAGGGCAATGTAAAATGGAAGCTTCTCAAGACTTTCGGTACATAATGAGGGTAGTGGCCCCACTTAGTTCCCTAATGCTGCCTCCCACCTACAACGTCTTGGATCCCAAGATCCCAAGGGTGGGGCCTGGATAAGACACAGAGCTACGCAGCCTTAAGCACACGATCCGTGAGGCGGGCGCAGCAAATCATCACTGCACACATGCAGCTGGAGGACTTTCGTGATCCACTTTTTTCTCAGTTGCGGCCTCCAACAGTTTTGTAAGGTTTGGATTGGGTTTAGGGTTTAGGCCTCAAACATTTTTGTGAGACTTGGGTTGGTAGTGTGCCATGAGAGAGAGCTTAGAGCATGAGAGGCATCCACTTATGATGAGTGAATTACATGCTGCCAGGAACAAGGCGATGTGGGAACTGTCTCCACAAACAGTGTGCCCATACTTTCCAAGCTGGAGCGAACCTTGACTGCTCTTCAGTTTCTCTTTGCTCAAGGAATTTTGCTCCTCGTAGTAGTAGTAGTAGTAG